AGGACGAGAGGCTATCTTGTCTACCTTGATTTCTGCTGACACATACTATGAGAAAATACAATAGGGACACAACTGGGAAGAGACACACGAAGGAACAACAAAGATCTGTATTTTCAAAGTATGTATTTCTTCAAAATTCTTGAACACTCTCTTCTCTTTCTCCTTTCCTTTCCCCTCTCAAAATTTCCCCACCCCAGGTCTATCTCAGGGGCAGCACAAATGTTCTATTCCACTTCTTTCCCCATCCTCTGGCCCCAAGTGACTAAACCAGGGGGTGTGTCTTAACCCAATGGCAAGCTGATCCATTGGCTGGCCAGAAACTTAAGACCCTTGACCTATGCTTAAAACAAAAACACGGTTGGCCAATCAAGCTCCTTTACAGTTGCACTGAGCAACTAAGTTATTTAAATTTAATTTAGTTGCAACTAGAGATAGCATGGGTTAAATGGAGAAGTGCAAAGTACTGTGGTCAAAAGATAATGAGTCACGCTACAACAAAGACCTTGAAAACATTATGCTAAGTAAAAGAACTCAGTCACAAAAGGCCACATAGTATATGTTAACATTTATATGAAATGCCCAGAACAGGCAATCTACAGACAGAAAGTAGGTTGGTGGCGAGGCGCAGTGGCTCACGCCTGTAATCCCAGCACTTTGGGAGGCCAAGGCGGGCAGATCACGAGGTCAGGAGATGGAGACCATCCTGGCTAACACGGTGAAACCCCGTCTCTACTATAAATAAAAAAATTAGCCGGGCGTGGCGGCGGGCGCCTGTAGTCCCAGCTACTCGGGAGACTGAGGCAGGAGAATGGCGTGAACCCGGGAGGCAGAGCTTGCAGTGAGCTGACATCCGGCCACTGCACTCCAGCCTAGGTGACTGAGACTCCGTCTCCAAGGTAAAAAAAAAAAAAAAAAAGAAAGTAGGTTGGTGGTTGCTTAGGAATGGGGATGGGGGAAGGGTGATGTGGGGAGGAAGAGGGGAATGGTTGCTTTTAGGTACAGGGTTTCTTTTGGGGTGATGAAATGTTCTGCAATTAAATAGTGGAAATGGTTACACAACTCTTGTATATACTAAAATCACTGAATTGCTCACTTTAAAGGGTAAACTTTATAGTATGTGAATTATGTCTCAATGTGGAGGGGAGGGAGAAGGGATTTGAAGAAAGGCCATGTTGCAACCAAAGTTATAAGGTAGTTAAGAGTAGAAAGGAGGCACATGTAGAGTGAGCAGTTGTGTATCCTGGGGTCAGAAAGATACAGTTTCTAGGTTTTCTAGCTGCAGAGTTCCTGATTAGATGACAGTTCAGTCCACCTGAGTCCTTATAAGAAAGCCCTTTCATATATGCTAGCTTGAGTGGACATCTGTACCTTGCAGCCAAACAAGACCTTCAAATGGGACCTGTTTAAAAATAATTCCTGAAACCTTTCATTATTAATTTTTTCACTCCCCCCCTTCCATTACCTGTTGACTTCCCTTAAACTATACAAATAGAAAAAATTCAGATACTTACCAATCCCTCCACCTCCCCAGCAGGCAAAAATACTTGTTGCATTCCAAACTTCAGCCACCACCCACCCTTATATACAAGGTCCCTCTGGCTCACATACAGTGCTGTGGAAAAACTGGAACAGAAGTGCATCAGAATAAAAAGGGCCCAGAAACACTGGCCTGTGTTACTTACCAGCTGCTCCCTAGTGAGAACAAGACAGAATAATACATTTACGCTGTGAGAAAGTAATTTTCATTTGGATAAAGGGCAATCTTCCTATCATGTGGGGTGTTAGGTACTAGAAAAAGCTATCTCTAAGCACAATAAAGACAATAATAATTTAAATTCACCATCCAACAATAGAATAGCTAACAATACGCTTTTAAAGGTTTTCAGCCTTCTTGCCTGAGGTATGAAGATAAGATCTGGAGATCTTATCTCTGCAATCATCTTTAATATCATTTTCAACTGTAATACCCAAGCTTTTGCTATGGTGCCAGATACTACACACTACAGGGCTCTATAAGACTGAGCAATATGTGACCTTGAGGCAATGTCACTGAAAAAGTAGAAGGGCACAACTATAATCCTCTACAAATCCTATAAAGGAATGTTTAAAAGTTCTATGAAAGAAGTGGCTAATATGATTTTACTTTATTGGAGGAGGGGGAGGTGTGTGTGCAGAGATTTCAGCTGCATAGAGTAGGTAAGTAGAAAAAGTGCAACATGGCATGGAGGAAAGAGGCCTAAGGGTGACGAAGAAATGGTAAGGACTGAGGAGATACTGGAAGAGTGGGATAACGTTAGAAGGGAGAAAAAGGACTTGAGAAAGTTGTGGAAAGAGTACAGAAACAGGGGATCATACTAGAAAGTTGACAAGAATAAAGAGGTAGGTCAGAGAGACCCAGTGAAGGGCTTTCCATGTTATATAGACAGGCTTGGAGTTTATTCCAAGATTTTAGATTAAGTGAATGATCAGATCTGTCCTTTTAAAAGATACCTAAAAATAATCTAGAGGATGAAATAAGGCAGGGAACATGGAGATCGGAAGGCTCTTGCATAAACTACTACCTAGATTAGCGCCCAGTCTCAGACAATACTGAGAAATTTTGGGCCAGGATACACTAGGACCTGGAGTTCACTTGAACTCCAAGGAGGAGAGGAAGAGAAAGAAACTAACAACTCTTGGGTTCTAATGAAGACAATATGGGAATTATTTTTTGTGGGGAAGTCTCTAGATGAAAGTAACCAATGAGCAGTATTTAGAATAAAGTCATAGACCTCAGAAGACATTTGGGGGAACAGAGATCTGAGAAGCAGAGAAGCACATCAGTGTTCCCTTAAGCAATGGGAGAGTGAAAAGTAAAAAGTTTGGGACACAACTCATGAAAATACCCATATCTTAGGGTGCAAGCAAAGTAAGAAGCACCAGTGGAAGCTTAAGAGTGATCAATGGAGAATCAAGAACATTGGGTAACTGTTCACTGACACGAGAGGCAGCCTGGTCTAGTGGGCAAAATATAAAAAGACCTTTACCTTTAAACTTGTACTTCAGGCCCAACATTGATTACTATTTGTCCTCAATCTCTCTCAACTGGGTCTCTCATGTTTAAAATGGGGGCAATAGCCTACGACCAGGCACCCCTGCAAAGCTTTGGTGAAGATGGATGACTAAAACAGATGCAAACACACTTGGAAAAAATGTTGATAATTCATTCCCCGATTGACTCTGAGAATGACCTGCGGTAAGTCCACTAGCTCTCAAACTTTAGTGTGCATGAAAAACATGCTGGACACTTGTTAGACTAGAGTCTAGGGGGTCCTATTCTAGTACAAAAACATCTGAATTTTTAAGTTTCAGGTGACTTTCATGCAGTGGTCCATGATCCAGATTTAACGGGATACTGAATGAGTCCAATATCTTAAAAGATTAGAAAGCAGGCTGAGAAGAATGCTGTGTCAATGCTGGGTTGAACACCAGGCAGTGGCAAAACACAGGAAGTGTTACAGTGAAAGATAATTTAAGCAACAGTCTTGTTTCTAAGGATCATAAATCCTGGGACATGGAAATATCCTTATTATGTATTAAATCTTTATGATGATATTCACTGTAATTTCACCTGTTACTGCTAAAGTAAAATTTTAGTAGTAAAGAATTCTCATAAAAAGACATTTAAATTACTGTAATTTTGGAGACTACAGAGGAGACATAAGATCCATTTCAAAAGAGTAAGATAGGCCAGGTTCTGAGGCAGCAGGATAGCTTGAGCCCAGGAGTTTAAGACCAGCCTGGGCAACACAGGGAGACCTCATATCTACAAAAAATTTAAAAATCAGCCAGGTGGTGGTGCATGCCTGTGGTCCCAGTCACTTGGGAAGCTGAGGCGAGAGGACTGCTTGAGCCTAGGACATTGAGGCTACAGTGAACTGTGACTGTGCCACAAAGCAAGACCCTATTTCAAAAACAAAGAGAGAAACAGCTAACTTTGAACCCTGCCCCCCAACTATTCCACAAAGAACTGTTTGGTATCTACTATTATCCACACCTGTTACATCTAATCCCAGGGTAGATTGATTTGTACATGGAGGCCTAACCTCAAAGACTTGCATTAACACCTGTTATCTAGAGAATATTCTATCACTTAATATTCTTGGCTTTGAATAACCTAAAGCTCATTTGCTGGAGGTTCCAAAACACTCTGAAGCCTGGTTACAGTGACTGAAATCAGGGGTTGGAAATGTGTCCTTCTGTACAAAGTCCAGAATTCAGGTTTCCAGCAGCTACAACTCAGGGCTAGGTTAGCATTTTGGCTGTGTACAACAGCAGTTCTTGAACAGTACTGCAAGCCAACAAGGTTTCTCGTTCTCACAATTTATTTGGGCAAATTGCCGATCAAGATTGATTCAGTTTTGCTTTTTTTGGAGGGTGAAGGACAATTTGATGTTCCTAAAATCATGTGCTGAGCTGCATTTTCAATGAGACTTGGGGGGGGTGGGGATCAAGGTCCAGGATTACACATTGTATGTTAATACTGAATGTTGTAGACGATACTAAACACACTGACTGTAGCTACCAGTCTCCTCTGTGATATGAGACTAAGAATCTAATAATTTAAAATAATAAAACACTTCCTTCCCAAAAGATTATTTGAAATTGCATGTCCAACCCAAAGCAACAATGCTATATATTAAAAAAAAAATACCTTGGAATCTATCATACAGGAAAACACTACAGTTTAAAGGAATTGGAACTGACACACTTGAGCTGATGCTGCTGGTCATATATCAAGTGCACCTTTATATAAATAACTTAAAGCCTTGAGGAAATAAGCAGTAATGAGACAGACTCAGACTACAATTGAAAATAATAGCATGAGAAAATTCAGGTTGTTTTGGCTTCCTTTCCCATTTTTTTCTTCCCCTTCTTAAAAAAAGGAATCAATTTCATCAAATAAAGAAACAGCCCAGTTCCTCTGCTTATGATAAAAATTAGACAACAAAAATACTTACACGGGACTGGAATTCAAAGAGCAATGATCCACCATCATTTCTGGAAGGAAATCCAACTTAAACGCAGCCATCACCTCACTCTCCCCTTCAGAAGCCAATGATATTAACTTGCTGCACTTGTCTGATCCACAAATACACACAGCTTTAGCTTCCTGGGCCCCACAAAAAACACAAAGTGGAAACAGGAGCTCAGGGAAACCAGCAATAAGTGCCACAGAAAGAGGCAGGACTGGGGAAGGGGTAGGGAAAGGGAGTATTGGATTAAAATGGGGATGTGACCATGTGAAGGGAGGCTCAGCCCAGCACACAATGAAAGTGCTGATGCGCCAGGCTTGTTTTGTGCGATTTTCCCTGGCGAAGCAGTACTAAGTGCACTGTCAGATAAATAGAATGTCAGATCCATGAAGATAGCAGTGGCTAACAGAGCAGAAGAAACACAAACTTGTTTCACATCCTCCAAACTCCTCCCTGCAAACCAGTTTTTAAGGTCCCCCAAAGCCTGAAACTAACTGAAGCGAGAAAAGGCTCACCGAAGAAGTGGGTTGTTAGCCTTGCTTTTAAACTTACGTTTCCATGTGCCACAGACAGCAATGAGCACAGTACTTAGGTCCAAACTAACCTCAGAACAGTCACATAAAGAGGAATGATAAGACCATCAGAAGCAGGCCAGAGACAAGCTGGTTGAATAAACTGGCCACCAGAAACTTACCACTCACATACAACTGCCTACAGTGGATCAACCTTACTTTTTTTTTTCTTGATATTTTCAAAAAAGCATCAATTTCTCAACTGACCTTGCTTTCTCGATGATGTGCTATTTAATGGTTAGAGTAAGGTGTGCTCCTCATCTAGGTGAAAGACTTCAAAAATCCTTTGTTCAGCAACACTCATTAGATGGCACACAGAAATTTTCTTTACTAACTCTGAAGCTTAATTTGCCAGAAAATAAAAATGGAATAGTAATATTCTGCCTCTTACTAGCATACTAGGAAATAATGTATTTTCAGTTCTCTGTTGTCCTTTCTAAAGAAACAAAGAACAAAAGCCACTATAGTGATAATAATGAAAAAGAACTAGGGCCTATCAGGGACAACACTCAAACATGTAAGGGAAAAACCAAGATATGAAGTCTCTTCATTGTCATTTTCCTCCTTTAAACTGTTGCTAAAACCAAGACTAGTGAGTGCACACATAAAAATTCTATTATGGGTGAGCAGTAGAGATGGATATACTTAGCAGTCAAGGCAGATGTGTGCTCCCGTTCTCAATTTAGCTCCACATCCCCCCAAACAACAAATGGTGGCATTTCAATATTTAGGCAGTGACTCTAAAATGTTATCTCTGAAGGCTCCCAAATTTCACAGGCTTTCTTTCCATTTTTATCATTAGAGTTGCCTTACCTCAAAGATTTCACTTCACCCAAGCTCAGTTCACAACACAGGGAACTTTGAAAAAAAGAAGTTATGTTCAGCCTGCAAAGAAGTAAAACGAATGAACTCCTAAACACACAGTTAACGTTAAAAAAAAAGAAAAGAAAAAGAAAGAAAGGCACCATAGCATAGGCCTAAAAGTTCTAATCTGTGTAACAATGGCTGACATCTGTCTGCATCTGACCCAGGAAGGTGAAAACTGTCTCTTCTGTCCATGTCCAGACGTCATCATCCAAAATCTAGAACTGTAACAGCAACTTACTGCTTTTTCTATTTTTGCCAGAAACTCGCTCATCTGATTTACTACTATAGAGGCAGAAGTGGCAGGAGCTCTCTTCCACCCTATTAAAGCAGCAAAAACAAGCTGCAAGTGAGAGGAGACTGTGCAACTGACACACAGTACACAGTTTACCCAGCCATGCCTGTCAGACAGAAGATGGTAACCCTAGCTGGGACTGGTTAGATTACTGGTTATATTTGTCCTAGTTTTTCCTATGTACACTGGAACTGATGGCATGCCTCTTCCTATAGAAAGCTGCCTGGACCAAAGAATAACTCTGAGTCGACAACCAAATTACATCTTTTAGTGCAAGAATGCCTTTAAAAAGACATTCCAGGCTTTAAAAAGGCTGAGCAACATCAGCTCACAGTGGTTCACGCCTGTAATCAATCTCAACACTTTGGGAGGCCAAGGCAGGCGGATCACCTGAGGTCAGAAGTTCAACGCCAGCCTGGCCAACACAGTGAAACTCCATCTCTACTAAAAAAATACCAAAAAAAAAAAAAAAAAAAATTAGCTGGGCGAGGTGGCACACGCCTGTAACCCCAGCTACTCGGGAGGCTAAGGCGGAGAAGAGCTTGAACCCAGGAGGCGGAGGTTGTGGTGAGCCGAGATCACACCACTGCACTCCAGCCTGGGCGACAGAGTAAGACTTCGTCTCCCCCATCAAAAAAAAAAAAAAAAAGAAAAAAAAATTCCTTTAAAAAGGATTCAATAAATTTCAAGGAACTTACTGGTTATTGTGTGTTTAATATTTACTAAAAACATACGAAATCTAATTGTATCTCCAGTTCAAATCAGAATCATATCTGTAACAGACTACTTAAATGGAGACATTATTGAGTTGCCAGGCACTGCCCAATGTATGAAAGGATGTGTTCTCCTTAAAATAGTTTTCACTAAGTCAAGGGCTGGGAAACATGATTTAGAGTAATGTCTTAAAATCATTTTTTCCCAGTCATTGAACTTTCATTCAAAAGAAGTTTCTAGAGGCCCAATTTATAAAGCAGTTGAAAATAGAAAGTACGGTCCATGAATTCTCTGTGCTTATACTGCTATTAAAGTCCATTTTATGATTTATAAAGCAACATTGCTTTAAAAACCCACAAGATGGAAATGTCATTACATGAAAGAGGGCACTTCTTTTTAGACAGGTCACAAGAGTTATCTCAGTATAATTAAATTCAACATGCTTTGGGAAAAGAGCACAGAAATTAATCACAAGTCAATTTTAGAAAGAGGTTATGAAGTTAAGTGATAAATTATGGGAATACAAAAATGCAAATATTAAGGGAAATTTAAAAGTAGAAAAGAAAGTTATTCACAAAAAACTGCCCGTGTGTGTGTGTGTGTGTGTGTGTACGTGCGCGTGTGTGTGTTTAAATGTCTTAATTCATCTGGGCACGGTGGCTCAAGCCTGTAATCCCAGCACTTCAGGAGGCCAAGGCAGGCAGATCACGAGGTCAGGAGATCGAGACCATCCTGGCTAACACGGTGAAAACCCGTCTCTACTAAAAACATAAAAAATTAGCTGGGCGTGGTGACACATGCCTGTAATCCCAGCTACTCAGGAGGCTGAGGCAGGAGAATCACTTGAACCCGGGAGGCGGAGATTGCAGTGAGCTGAGATTGCGCCACTGCACTCCATCCAGCCTGGGCGACAGAATGAGACTGTCTCAAAATAAATAAATAAAAAAATAAAAAATAAAAATCAAATAGACATTCCAGCCTTTTCCCACAAAGGAAGCATTAGAAATACAGAGGTGACCGAAGGGGTTATAACCAAGGGTCTGCTGCAAAAGAAGGCCTTAACTTTCCCTCAGCCTCTTTTTATCACCTGTTCCTTTCACTCTGAATGTACTTTCATGGTTTCCTCTTCTCTCCCTGGTTGTCCGTCTGTCTGTTTTCTCTGCCTTGAATATTCTCTACTATTTAAAAGAGCAACAATTCAAAGCCTGATTAAGTGAAGGTAGGAGCAATCAGCCTGCTGTAACATTAAGAACCCAAATCATTAAAAATGATCAATATAGGTAAGAAAAACACTCAACAGAACAGCACTCATTGCATTTAGGATATAGGCATAGTATAAACTTAACAGGAAGATGTAAAACTGGATTAGAAAAGAGAAAGGCTAGCAATCACAGTATGTTTTGCCAAAAGGATGAAAAAGCAAACAAAAGCACAGTTAAGCAAAAAAGCCTAGGTAGCTTATGCAAACGTCTACCTTGATAGATAAAACCAGGGAGTTCTACGACAGGTGAACAGATTTTACACTTCCACCCCAATAATCTAAGTATGTTTGAAAGGGCAATAAAGTGAAGTCTAGTTATATAAGCACAGAGGAGATTAGAAGCTACTACTGAAAAGGGAATCAATGTCATTAAAAATCACCATCAATCTATACAAGGGAATTCAAATTGCAAAAATCTAGGGAATGGTCATAACCTCAGACTGCTGCTAAGTGGACTGGGTATTTTACCCCCGAGTTTCTGGCAGTGAGATGATATAAGAGATTAAAAAAGTAAGCAATTGATACTTGAAAATAACCAACTATAGTAACTTAAATTTTTACACAGTACCTTTTTGGACCTAAATTTCATTTCTTAAATTGAGTATTTATAATATAATTAGTGGGCCTCCTGAGCTCCCAACCAACTACCTTGCACAGGTAAAATATGCTGACACAAATTGGTAATTATTTCTGTGGTAATTATATTTCACTTGGTGGAAGATTTTTGTTATTGTTACAAAATGTAACAGTTAAGAATAATTTATGGGCCAGGAACACAGGCTCACGCCTATAATCCCAACACTTTGGGAGGCCAAGGTGGGCAGACTGCTCAAGTCCAGGAGTTTGAGACTTGTCTGGGCAACAAAGCAGGACCGACCTCTACAAAAAAATACAAAACATTAGCTGGGTGTGGTGGTACACACTGTAGTCTCAGTTACTCAGGAGGCTGAGGCACGAGGAGTGACTGGGCCCAGGAGGTCAACGCTGCAGTGAGCCAAGATTGAGTCACTGCACTCCAGCCTGGGCAACAGAACAAGACCCTGTCTCAAAAACAAACAAACAAAGCTAACTTTTCCATAAGAATCTAGACAATGTAAAAATTTCTGCATGATGGGAAGGGAGGTTAAAGAAGAAAGAGAAATATTGTAAAAAGAATTTTTCCGGCTGGGCACAGTGGGAAACACTTTTAATCCTAGCACTTTGGAAGGCCAAGGCAGGAGCATCGTTTGAGCTCAGGCAAGACTAGCCTGGGCAACATGGTGCCATCTCCACAAAAAAAATACAAAAAATAGTGAGGCATGATGGTGCCCACCTGTAGTCCCAGCTACTTGTGAGGCTGAAGTGGGAGGATCACCTGAGCCCAGGAAGGTCAAGGCTGCAGTGAGACTTGCTCGCACCACTACACTCCAGCATGGGCAACACAGTGAGACCCTGCCTTACAAAACAAAATAAATAAAACATAAAAAGTCTCCATTTCAGGCTGGGCGCGGTGGCTCATGCCTATAATCCCAGCACTTTGGGAGGCCGAGGTGGGCGGATCACTTAAGGTCAGGAGTTCTGAACCAGTTTGGCCAACATGGTGAAACCCCATCTCTACTAAAAATACAAAAATTAGCTGGATGTGGTGGCGGGTGCCTGTAGTCCCAGCTACTTGGGAGGCTGAGGCAGGAGAATTGCTTGAACCCAGGAGGCGGAGGTTGCAGTGAGCCAACACCATGCCATTGTACTCCAGCCTGGGCAACAGAGTGACACTCCATCACACACACAAAAATTTCCATTTCTAATCTAAAATCACTGTACCAAAAAAAGCACTACGTTTAATAATTTGTTGTGTGCAAGTTGCTTTGCCTGTAAAATTATCACATATGGTATACTGAAAGGATATGACAAAAACATCACCATTTTGAAAACTAAAAAGTTCTCCATTTCCTCCCCCTATCCTTAATCACAGAAAGACTCTGTACTCAGCACTAGTATAGCCTCAGAGCCTTCCTTGGAGTATCTGTAAGTAATCCTGACCCAACAAACAGTCCTGTCAAATTGTGACCACCCTTCCAATCAAGTCATACTTTCAGATTCCACACTAGTTCTGGAACTTAAGTGCATTTCTTAGTTGGTAACAATATATCGTAAGTTTATACTTTATTTAAGCTCCAGTGCTGATTTAAAAACCAGTATGTTAGGCCAGGCGCGGTGGCTCACAACTGCAATCCCAGCACTTTGGGAGGCCAAGGCGGGCAGATCACGAGGTCAGGAGATCGAGACCATCCTGGCTAACACAGTGAAACCCCTTCTCTACTAAAAAAATACAAAAAAATTAGCCGGGCGTGGTGGCAGGCGCCTGTAGTACCAGTTACTTGGGAGGCTGAGGCAGGAGAATGGTGTGAACCCAGAAGGCGGAGCTTGCAGTGAGCCGAGATCACGCCACTGCAGTCCAGCCTAAGTGACAGAGTGAGGCTCTGTCTCAAAAAAAAAAAAAAAAAAAAAAAAATCAAAAAATCAGTCTGTTAGCCAGGCACAGTGGCTCACACCTGTAATCCCAGTACTTTGGGAGGCTGAGGCCAGCAGATCACCTGAGGTCAGGAGTTCGAGACCAGCCTGGCCAACATGATGAAACTCCGTCTCCACTAAAAATACAAAAATTAGCCAGGCGCAGTAGCAGGCATCTGTAATCCCAGCTACTCGGGAGGCTGAGGCACGAGAATCACCTGAACCCAGGAGGCGGAGCCTACAGTGACCTGAGATCATGCCACTGCACTCCAGCCTGGGTGACAAGAGTGAAACTGCATCCCCACCCCCCACTCAAAAAAAAAAAAAATTCCGTATGTTGAACAAATTCTGGTTCAAGAAAGGTATTATTGTCTGTATGGAATCTACTCAGTTCTGTCCTCATCTCTGTTCCAGTGGTGTCCAATCTTTAGGCTTCCTTGTGCCACACTGGAAGAAGAATTGTCTTGGGCCACAAATAAAATACACTGATAGCCGATGAGTTTAAAAAAAAAAAAAAAAAAAAAATTTGCAGGCTGGGCGCGGTGGCTCACGCCTGTAATCCCAGCACTTTGGGAGGCCAAGGAGGGCGGATCACGAGGTCAAGAGATAGAGACCATCCTGGCTAACACGGTGAAACCCTGTCTCTACTAAAAATACAAAACATTAACCAGGCATGGTGGCGCATGCCTATAGTCCCAGCTACTCGGGGGATTGAGCCAGGAGAATCACTTGAACCTGGGAGGTGGAGGGGTTGCAGTGAGCCAAGATTGTGCCACTGCTCTCCAGCCTGGGTGACAGAGCAAGACTCCGTCTCAAAAAAAAAAAAAGAAAAAAAAAGAAAAAAAAATCTCATGTTTTAAGAAAGTTCATAAATTTGTATTAGGCTATATTCAAAGTCGTCC